TGGATGGATGATGCATGGATGGATGATGGATGCATGATGGTTGATGGATGGATGATGGATAATGAATGGAAAATGGATGGATGATGGATGGATGATGGATAGATGGATGGATGATGGATGGATGATGGATAGATGGATGGATGATGGATGGATGGATGGATAGATGGATGGATGATGGCTTGTTTCAGTTCAGTTTATTTATATAGCTCTGTCACAACAGAAGTCATCTCAGGACAATGAACAGACACATTCATATTGTATATAAAAATAATAATTTCACATTATTTATCTGAGGAGCAGACTGCTTTGAGTTTAACTCCATCACAGAACTCTCATCTTGATCAAGCATGAAGGCAACAGTGGAAAGAAAAAACTCTCTCATGAAGAAGAAACCTTTATCAGAACCAGGTTCAGGACAAGCGGCCATCTGCTTCGACCGGCTGGGTTTGAGAGGAACAGATACACAATGGCAGGTCAAGAATCACGTTAAGATAGAAATAGTATCAAATGAAAACTATTCAATTTTAACAATTCATTTAAGGAAATTAGGTCAATTTGTCCTCTAGTAGTCTAAGATTAAGGCAGCATAACAAGCCAACCCTAACTATAGGATTTATCAAAAAGGAAAGTCTTAATCCCAGTTTTAAAACTGGACAATGTGTCAGCCTCATGGACAGAAACTGGAAGTTGGTTCCACAAGAGAGGAGCCTGATAACTAAAAGATCTTCCTCCCATTCTGCTTTTGGAAACTCTAGGAACCACAAGTAAACCTGCAGCCTGAGAGTGAAGTGCTCTGTTAGGAAAATATTGATCAGTAAGCTCTGTAAAATAAATGGAGCTAGGTTGTTGAGAGCTTTGTAGGTTAGAAGTAAGATTTTGAATTATATTCTGGATTTGACTGGGAGCCAATGGAGAGAAGCTAAAACTGGAGAGATATGATCTCTCCTACTAACTCCGGTTAAGACTCTGGCAGCAGCATTTTGGATCAACTGAAGACGTTTTAAAGAAGTATTTGGACATCCAGATAATAAACCATTGCAATAGTCCAGTCTAGACGTGACAAATGCATGGACCAGTTTTTCTGCATCATTCAACAATCATTTAATTTGTTCATTCATTCATTCAAGGTTATGTTTACAGTAAACCAGGAGGAACTGGCGGGGGCGGTGGATCAGTGTCTTTCATTCAGGCCCAGGTCTCCCTTGCAAAAGAGATCTGTGATCTCCGTGGGATTTGCTTGTTTAAATAAAGGTTAATAATAAATAAATAAAAATTCACCTGAAACTGCATCAGACTTTGTCAGTTTCTGTGGGCTGCCTGTGGGTCAAACTGGGCCACAGCATCCAGTCTCAGCCAGAATGTAGTTTGACCGTAAGGTTATGTAATGTAGGCCGTGAGCTGACAGTACACTGATGGTTTGGACTCTCTGTTCTCTGACTGCAGATAAGAGATTAGGTCATCTGCGAAACATGAACATGGTAGTGTTGGGAAAAAGCAGCACGGAAACCTCATCTTTCTGTTGGGATTTGTGAGTTTGTGTTATGTACTAAATCTGACTTGAATGTTAAGGTGTCCTGATTAAGTAAATAAACCCTTTAAATTGTGGAAGTATCTCTTTCCTACTGCAGCTGTGCTCCTGAAGTGAAACAATCTGGCACTGTAGCTCATTTCTGCTGTTAGTGTCTTAATCGTGTGGACTGAGAAGGATCAGTCACCTTCTGACACATCAGGACACAGGAAGGTCACACTCTGTCTAGTGACTGCCTGCTGAAGGAAAGAGGAACCTGTCTGTGTTGCTCAGATGTATTTCTGTCCAGGAAGTGTAATGTGCACTATAAATAGCCACAACTCCTCACAGAGCACTTTGATCATGTGTTATGAGTAAGACACCGTGATCTCAGAAGATGCTCAGTGTGGATGTGCGTTTAGTGCTGATAGATGTCCAGTCATGAACAGACACATCACTGCCTGTGCTGTTTCACCGTCCTAATCCCTCCTCTCCTGGTATTTACTCTCAATGCAGGTCACTGGATGAGATGCACACGCTGTAGCAATCCAACCCAAAGTGGGTCAGACTCCTAAAACACCCACAGAGAGCTGAAGTGGAGAAAATCTGTCTGTCCTCCATCCCAGAGTGTTCAGACTAACAGCGATTCTGGCGTTAAGTGCAGTTTTTGCCAAATTGATGCATATCCACATGTGAGATCAAAGCTCAACCTCATGGGTATTTCAGTCCTTCCGTTCATCTGCCTGTCCATCTGTTAATCTGATGCTTTGTGAGTCGGTCTTCTGGAGAGCTCAGCTTCATTTTCCTCCCAGCCAGCAGTCTGTGATTACCTTTACAGGCAGAGACGCTGGAATGTTAATCCATTTTTTTTTCTTCCACTGAAAACATTCAGTAGACATTCAGTGTTCTTACAAACGCACACAAATAAACTGTCAGCATCTGCTTTTAAAGACAACATCTGTAGTGTCTTTGTTCGAGAAGAACAGATCCACTATCCTGTTTTTATCTGCAGCTCCTCTGCAATGAAGGGAGTTTCCTGCATTTTCTGGAATATTACAGGAGTCATATTTCAATAAAATAACATGAATACCAGAGAGTATGTCACCAAAAACAAACGCCTTTTCACCATTTCTCAATCCGCTCTGAAAGGACTTACACAGACACTAAAGACCAAACAGCCTTTAACATAAATATTAAATGCAATTTCTCTAAATTAAAGTGTTTCAGTCTCCTCTGAATGTCGTAAACTTATTGAAGTGAATAAAAGCTAACACCTAATTTATGCCCAGAGGAGTAAAAAGGGCTGTTTATCTGATGTGGAGGTTGAAAGTCTTCATGATTACAGACAGCTCAGTGTGAACACAACAGACAGGAATCTGTGGGCTGTCTGCCTGTGTCACTGTCTGCGTCAGGACAGAGGAGACACAGACACGAACAAGAGGAGTCACTTTACTATACTTCCGGGTTTGGTTATCTGGCGCGTTAAATACGTAAACCCCACGAAACGATTCAGTTAAAGCCAATCGTTCACTTTTATGTTGTTTTGACAAACGTTTTGCTAGCAGGACAACATCGTTATGCAGGATGAGTGACTGTGTTTATTAAAGGTAAACTGTACATATGTCTTTGTGATGATTAGCATAGCAAGCTACCCCAACTGCTGTGCGCATGCGCATTATCCGGTGGTTTAATGGTCAGTGAACTATCTTGCCACATGACTCTTTTAGTCTTTGGGAGCTCCCAGTCTGTCCTCTCATGTTCTCACTGGGAGCTCCACTAGCAGAACAAAATGCTCCGCTGGCCGCAGGAACAGCCGTAACTGGTCTCCAACAGGCTCCTCTTCAGTTTGTGGTGAGTAATTGAGTATAAATACTCTCCTGTTCCGGTCATTACATTATATAATCATTATACTTCTGCTGGTATTGCGAAATTAATCCAGTTTTGTCTCTTTACCGGCTCTTTGTTGTAAGTTTATGTTCAAAGCGCAGCTGGAGAGATTAAAAACATCTAATATTTAAACAAACTGTGAGTGTGGAGGCTGGAGTTCACGAGACAGGGGGACACTGTTGTCACTGTGCGCGCGCGCGCGTGCGCGAGGTCAACAGGTCAGCTGTCTAAAGACTCTTTATACAAACAGGAAGTGAATCCTTCAGCAGAGACGAACTGCACGGGTGAAAACTGTGTGATAATAACGTGAATTATTAACGTGAAGCACATGAATGCATTCACACACACACGCCCTGGTGCACGCGCACGTTTTGCTGCTTTGAACCTTTAAATTATTGATGTGTCAGTAATAAATGTGATGTAACTGGGACAAGCAGCCTCTGGAATAATAAGTGTTGCAGGGGTTGTAAAAGCTGTCATTTTATTTGTGGAAATATTTGATTTTTCTGAAGAAATAAGATTATTTTTTATTAATAATAACAATAATAATAATAATACAGAGGTGTGTGTTAGGGGATATTGGAAGCTTGAGCGCACTGAGGTACAAAATGTTTAAAATTGTTCTTTAACAAGGAGACACTGTTTAACCTGCTGTGAACTTTACTGTGATAAATGTTTTTAATTTCTGCTGTAACAACACAGGAGCCTAATGGTGTTTACAAAGATTTAATAAAAGCTTCTAATGCAAATAAATTACATTATTATTATTAACCTTTATTTAACCAGTAAATCCCATTGAGATCACAGATCTCTTTTGTAAGGGAGGTCTGGGCCTGAAGGCAGACTAACATGCATGTTTTGGGTCTGTGGGGGGAAACCGGAGTACCCGGAGAAAACCCACGCATGCACAAGAAGAACATGCAAACGCCACATAGAAAGACCCCAGGCCCAACTGGGGATTGAACCCATAACTTTCTTGCTGTGAGGCAACAGTGCTAACCACTGATCCACCGTGCTGTCAAAATGCAAGTTACAGTTTTGTGTTTGATATTCCATCCATCCATCCATCCATTATCTTTACCCGCTTATTCCATTTTGGGTCACGGGGGTCGCTGGTGCCCATGTCCAGCAATCACTGTGCGAGGGGCGGGGTACACCCTGGACGGGTCGCAAGTCCATCACAGGGCCACATAGAGACAAACGACACAAACAAACATTCAGTCTCTCACTCACACCTAGGGACAATTTAGAGTTACCAATCAGCCTAACATGCATGTTTTTGGTCTGTGGGAGGAAACCGGAGTACCCGGAGGAAACCCACGCATGCACGGAGAGAACATGCAAACTCCACCCAGAAAGGCCCCTGGACCGGGGTTTGAACCAAGGACCTGCTCGCTGAGAGGCAGCAGCTCTACCAGTTGCGCCACCGTGCTGCCCGTGTTTGATATTATGAGGTTGTTTTTTTTTGATGATCAAAATGAGCCCTTCCGTTTTATTTTGCTGTTCAGGTGAAAGTAAAACATGACTTTTTATCCTTTTTTTTATTATTATTATTATTTTTATCTTGGCATTGCACTTCCCACGCACTAAGAGTGCTGGGTTCTTTTAATAACTCGACTGCTGGGTTAAAGCTGCAGGCTCATATTGGGTTGATCTGATCAAATGTTGGGTCAAAAAGTTGTAGTTGACTTTAGGATACGTCATTTTGAGCCAGAAGTTGATCAAATCGGACCTAACTGCACCTCATAAGACATTTGAGTAATAAAATGGAAGATGTTTTGTTGGTTGGACCCAAGTTGTAGTGACCATTTTAAGCAGATTTTGTGTTGTTCTTTTAAAAAACAACCATTTAGCAGCTCTAATTTCACAAAATAGCCCCCATTATAGAGTAGAATAGCTGCTTGAGTTAAAAACTGCCTAAGGTTCAAATTTGACCCCGAGCGTAGTTTCAGACTGGATTATTTTTAAACCTGCAGTTTTTACTGTGTATCAATGAATTGCATCACATTCCCATAATAATGAAAGAGTTTCTTCTTGTTGGCCAATATTTAAACACCACGTTTACATCAGTGAATAATCATTGGTTATCTGGCAGCTCGTGTCTTTCGGCCGTCTGTAGAGTCCTGAACCTGGGCTAAGTCTTGTTTCCCCTGAAAGTGCTCCTGTTTGAAATCATTTTCCGTGTCCGGACCCAAAAATAGCAGCCACTCGATCCGCTGCACGCCCAGCCCTGAGCATGCAACCACGAGATGTTGCGTTTCCTTGTATTCTTCTGTAGAAAACAGCTCGAGGAATCGCAGGAATGTTAATGAGTCTCCGGAGCAAAGAAGGGCCGTTTGAGTTTTTTCTGTTTTGCTTGTTGACGTGTGAGCACGACTTCTTGTTCAATGAGTTTTGAAGGTAAATCACTGTCGAGATGGAATGAGCCTAAACAAACGTGTGGCCTGAAACCAGCTCGGCCGGCGTCCTCGAGGTCTGCTCTGTGGAAATCCATCCCTGTCACTCCTTTATTTATTGGTTTATGTATTTATTTATTTGTTTATCGGCGTGTTACTGCAGAGTGCTGGTTATTCAAAGCAACATGTCTGCCTTTTGTTCCCTTCCAGGAAGTCTGACGATCATCAGTCAAACCATGAGAGGCATCCTGAAGAGAAAGTTTGCAGAGGTAGAGAAATACTCCAGCTCTTCCTCTTCTCCTTCCTCTCTCTCCTCCTCAAACTGGGAGTCCGATGGGGAGGGGAGCTCATCAGAGAACCAGGATTTCCCCCCTCACAGTCCCGCCTCGCTCTCCGCCCTGCCCAGTAAGTCTTCAAACCTGCACCCAACATTCATTTCTCTCCCTTCTTTCAAATAATGCCACCCTGCTCCTTATCGAGTGTCAGACAGGAGTGTCTCTTATCAGCCTGCAGCAGAAGTTAGAGCTGACTGATATGAAAACACTCGTTCTAGATAACACGCCGAGAACGACTCCCCTCCTGGGCGTCCGTCCGGCGCTGTGGAGGATCATTTGCCTAAGCAACAGGAAGTTGTGGAGTCAATTTGAATAGCAGTGCTGCTTTAAACAAGTCATATCAAATGGCTTCACGTGCTGATACAAAGTACTTATCTTCTGCTCGTCCCATGAAGTCACTGAAAGAGGGACATGGTCTGTGATGGACAGACGTCATTAACCCGGTCAGAGTGGAGACATCCAAACAAAGGGATGGGCTCACTGCACCAAGAGGCCAACTGAAGCACTCGGAGGAACAGGAAACACACAGACCAGCAGAAAGTGACCTGAAGAGAGACAACATGTTCCAGTCTGCATGGATCCTGATCCAGATCATCCACACCGAGGCAGAAACTGCAGAGCAGGGTGGAGGACATCTGTGGACAGGGACAGGGAGGAAAGCCAGACATGGCGTGGACACTTGTACACAAACAAACAGAGGCCTGGGTGGATGTTTTCAGAAAGGTTACGGCCATCTCCTCAGGACAAACAGGTTCCAGGCTGTACAGGCTGGGCTTAAAAGATTCAGAGTGTAAGTGTTTAAACAAAGAGAGCAGGCCAGCCAGCTGCTCTGTGCTTCCAGCAGCTTCAGACCTCACATAGACCTTTAACTGGACCGTCAGACCTCTCATAGACCTTTAACTGGACCGCCAGACCTCACATAGACCTTTAACTGGACCGCCAGACCTCACATAGACCTTTAACTGGACCGTCAGGCCTCACATAGACCTTTAACTGGACCGTCAGGCCTCACATAGACCTTTAACTGGACCGTCAGACCTCACATAGACCTTTAACTGGACCGTCAGACCTCACATAGACCTTTAACTG